GCCTCAGCAAGAGGAGGCTGAGGGGGGACCTGGTGGCTGCCTACAAGCTCATCAGGGGAGATCAATAGCAAATAGGCAGAGCCCTTTTCTCCCCAGCACCACTTGGGGTGACGAGGAACAGTGGTAATAAGCTGATGGAGAATAGGTTTAGGTTAGAGATCAGAAGGCAATATTTTACAGTTAGGGTGGCCAAAATCTGGAACCAGCTTCCCAGGGAAGTGGTCCTCGCCCCTACCTTGGGCAAATTCAAGAGGAGGTTGGACGATCACCTGTCCGGGGTCTTGTGAACCCAGCATTCGTCCCTGCCTGTGGCAGGGGGTCAGGCGAGATGATCTGTTCGGGTCCCTCCTGACCCTAGCTACTATGAAACTATGAAGATTCAATCAAAATTCCATAGTGTGTACTGATCAATAGGAGATCCCTAATGTTTCATTTAATTTTGCCCTTAACACGTTGCAGTGTTAGCAGTAAGGGCTGATACGCACTCAAAATAAATAAATAAATCAATAAATTTGGTGGGTTTAGTCTTACTTATTATGTCTTACTCTCCAAAGCACTCTAATACAAGTTGTATAAAATATTTAATAAAAGTAACTAAGCCAGTAATACAAGAACTAATCAAGAGAAGTTTAACTCAAGACAAAAAACGTACATTTTGGACAGTGTCTTTAACAGTATGAACTGCTGGAAGAAAATGTTTAAACGAAATTAAAGTGGGATCCTTTGCAGAAAAGTGACACTCTCTCTCTCTCCATTTTCTAGAATGCTATACAGCCAATGGGGCGGACTATCGGGGCACGCAGAACCAAACCTCCCTACATGCAGGGAAGCCTTGTCTCTTTTGGAATGAGACCTTCCAGCACCCTTACAATACCCTGAAATACCCCAATGGAGAAGGAGGGCTTGGGGAGCACAATTACTGCAGGTAAGAAATATCCCACTGTAAAGGTGGCCTCTAAGCCTGAAGTTTCATTAGCCCTTGACCAAAAATAGTAAGCGGATGGGACACGCTGGAGGGTCCCTTGGCTGTCAGAGCTGGGGCAATCAGAAAGACATCTTTACACCAGCAACTACATCTCTTCAACCTCACTCAGGCCACAGGCAGCTTTAGAACTTGGTTCTTCTCAGGTCTTAACAAAGCCCACGTCACCAAACCAATCTACCGCCTGACACAACAGATAACGACTGGTATTCTTCCTAAAAGACATTTGAAGAAGTTAGCAGGAAAGGGACGTAGCGAGGGTACATGGAGGCAAGGAGTTTGGACATTTTGCATGGTTTTCATCCTTGCCTATACCTCTGGCTCTCCCATGCCCAGGACCATTGTCCCTAGTGCTTAGGAACACTGAATAGTCACAGAATTGTTTTCAGTGAATGAGAATTGTTACTAGATTGTAGTTTGAAAATGTGCCTTTGCTTGCTTTGGCTTTGTTCCACTTCAGTCACATTCACTGTTGAATAGGGAAGTGTCTGGACAAAGAGTGGGTCATACAGGAAGGGGGTGAGATACTCCACGGAAAGAAGGATCAGGGGAAGATGGGAACGGAGAAGGGTGGGACAGACCAGCACACGGGAAGGCACTGAAACATGCCCTCGTGACACACAGAGAGGACTGGAACACCTGGCAGGGACACCTGGAAGGGGATCTGCCTGTGGCTGTGCTGGCAGCAGTGCCTTTGAAGTTCTCTGATCTCTTGCCATTGATGTGCAGTGTATTATGGTAATGTTAGATTGCATTATGCAGTTACTCATTTTACATCACCTCAGCCCCTCTCAGGAATAAAAGAAAATACAAAGAGAGAGAGAGAGAGAGAGAGAGACAGAGAGAGAGAGAGACTCACTCTGTAAAACCTGGATATTCCATCCCAAAAACGTGCTGGAAGCCCATTAACACAGGCATCTCTGAGCTCACAAATCAGAGTGGCATACCGCAGGGAACCACATGGCCTCCCCCCCACAAACACCTTTCCTGCAGCCCTCAGCCCAACAAGACCAGTGCGGAGGACCTTGACAGTCTCTGCGACATACACAAAGAGAGGGAACCTCTTGGGTGACCTCAGAACTACCTGTGAACAGCGAGAGGCCAGTGGAAAAGCTGCAGTGACAGGAGAAAAGAAACACCTTGAATGATGATGCCCTCATAGGCCATACTCACTGCGCCCCTACTAACAGCTTTTCCTGGCACCTGTGCCTCAGACATGGCTGTCCTGCAACACATAGAGCAAAGCACACAAAACCCTCAGATACCTGATGAGAGAACAGGATGTACGTGGTCAGGTCCTATGCTAACCATTCATTTACACAAGCAGCCACTAAGATGAAGAAAAAGATTTCATTGCACAGTGGCTTCATGAAAGTGGAAATCTCTCAAACACTCTGCAAAACCTCAGCTCAGCCATAACAGAACTGGGAGACCAGAAGGACTCATTTCTTGTTCATCTCCATGCAGCCACTACAAGGAGCCAAGTACAAAGTTTCCAAAGCTGCTAGCCACATCTATTATTCCCATGCATTTCAAGATGCTTATGTAGGAAGTCCTATTATCACAATTTATGGAGATGTACTTAAAAGTATTTTCTTTCACTATAACAGGTACACCAGCAATGTTTCTGTAGCTGCCAAACTGAAGGGAATAACCATATTCCCACAGGGTAGGCTGCTCTGCTGGCAGGTCTCCTCCATCCCCCAGAACCACACTTGCTTTCTTCCACTATATCTTAGCCCAGATCAAATATTAACCTTTGCATTCCCATAGTCCTGAGCCCTCCTCCTCCAGCACCTCTTCCCAGGTGTCTCCAGTCCTGACCATCAGCAGACCCTGCTCTTCCAGCCATGTGTCCTCAGCCCTGTCCT